TACAATATACTATAAAATCTTACCAAAAATAATGTATACAATATACTGATTTGACGTATAAAATTTAACAAAAATTACGTATACATTATACTAATTAGACGTATAAATTCAGTATTTTTTTGCATACAGAAAAAAACGATTTTCAGTATCTAATATACGGAAATATTTATGAATTTATTATACTGTTTTTCTACGTTTATTATATGTTTTTTTTAATGTATTATTTCTTATACTTTCCTTATACATATTATTTATAAGGATTGATCTACTTATATTTTATTAATAAATCAAACTCTATCTTTATAACATTGATATGTTAAACTCATGATCTAAAACCTAATCTATCATTATTATTCTTTCTATATATTTGAAGTATTTTTATGTATTTCCAATTTATATATATATATATATATATAGTTTTATTGATATAAAAAAGTCCTTAGGATTATAAAGTTAAATCAGATACCTATAATCTTGCTATATGTGTTAAAGTCTATTTTTTAGTCAGTAGACTTTACATTCAACAATGTAATAGTGTAAAACTTCAAAACATATATCAATTTCTATTATTAGCTAATTCCAAATGAAATTAAAGCTATACTTATACATCATAAAATTTTATCACCAATATATTTACAATGCTTAGATGAAATTCAAATTCTGATAATATTGTATTTTGTTAGAACTATGGATTATTCGTTAATTTTAGAATACTAGCATTATATTTGGCATAATAGAAGCTTATTTACAACCATCTGATCCTAATCATCTTTCAAATGAAGAAATCTTTGATGATACTCTCCTACAAGCTTGCCCTTTTGTTAAGTTTACATAATTCTTATTTACGTAAATTTACGTAATTATAAAAATATTGTACATCAAAAATTTAATACAAGAATAATAGGATTATTTCCAACTGCTACGTATATTCCAAATGATAATTCTGCATCAACTAATGACAGGATTTATTCGTAACGATAATAATATTTCTTTACCTACAGTATTTCAATCTATGAACCAAATCTTGAATCTCTTCTATTTCCACATTTATTTCCTAATGCTCGTTCAAATGAAAATAGATTAGAAACTCATGATAATAGTAAAATTTAACTACTTCAATTCCTACATTCTTCACCCTTGAAGATATGCCAATTGATTATCAGGAGGGTGGTGGAATAATTGATGATTTAGAGCTTAAAAGAAGATTGGACAGAATTAAAGATACTTTAAGTGGTACCGCTCAAGGAGGAAAACAAAAACTCGGGTTGGATAAAATCGATAAATACGCGATCAAATTGCAACAATATCAAGAAATGTCTGATACAAATAGCGTGGAATCTTTAAACACAGAGACAAGTAACGTGGAACCTTTAAGTACAGAGACAAATAACGTGTAACCTTCAGTGCAATCAAAAACATTAGATTTTTAACTAAGGATATGTGTATTAAAAAATAAGTGAATATGTATGCAATAATGTACAACAATTTTTTCTATAATACAACAAATCTTTTAGGAAAATACTTTAAATTAATTAAATTAACTAAGGCTTAATTAAAACACTCTACGATCTATATATATAAATACATTCTAAAATTAAAATTCAAACGGCGATTAAAAATAATCCAAGAAACTGTGCATATGGAACTAAAGTATAACGGGTAACAAAGTAAAAGAACATCCCGAAAGCAATTGAAATTGGTAATGCAGGAAGCGCTTTCTTATAAATTGCAAGAAGAAATATAGTTGTATTAAGTCCCTAAATAATATATGACAAAAAAAAAAAATTTGATTAGTGATTTATCCTCTAAAACAATCGAGAAAAAAATGGAAATAAATCATTACCGTTAGTACGGCGACTATACAAGCTACAGTTGTTATCCAATCAAATAAGGCTGCATTAATAAATAAATCGTTAGTTATTTATTAAATTAATTTCATGATTGTTAATAAATTATTTTTAATGACTTTTTTAACAACTTACCAGCTTGAGCTACAAGGACGCTATAAAATACAAAATCACCTAACCCTAATTTCAATCCACTTTTTTCCTCTAATTTAAAATTTAAGTTGTCGTTAATAATTAACCTTAATTAGGTTAAATAATTAATAACAAATCAAACCTTCTTCATCGTCCAATGAATCATCATTCGGTTGCGTTGGTTGACCTGTAAGAGACTGTCCTCTCGAGTTCTCATTCACATTGTTAGCATTGATAAATACGCCCTCAACTTCACCTTCACCAAGAACATTTCGATTATCACGATTATATCTTATGTTTTCTGATAATGGAATTTCTTCGCCAGTATGAGTGCTAGGATCCCTTGCCTGAAATGAAGATGCAGATGATCGTAACGAATTAAATGATGTTGATGTAAATTGGTTAGAAATTCCAGGTGATGCCATTAACCATACAGCATTTACTTTTTAAAATAAAAAAAAAAAAGGTTTTTAAAATTTTACCATACAAAAATTAACTAAAATTCAAGGATTTTTTATATTTAATCATACCAGAATATAATAATGCCGGTATCTCTCTCTGATCATCACGTGAGCTTTCAACCAAAATGCGTAGGGGACCAAAAGGACAAAGCACAGCAATCAAATCTTTTTTGATGCAAATTTTAAAAATTAATATTATGAATGAAATTATTTAAATAGTAATATGTAACCTTACGTACCCCAAATAGCTAACAACCCCAATAAAATCCATGTGGTCCATGATGATAAACCTGTTAGAGAAAATGCCTAAAAATTATCAAGGAAAATTATATATAGCTCTGCAATAAAGATCCCAATATAATAAATCATTAATACCATCAAACTTGACATAATAGTCAGATATATTTGTTGCAATAACAGAGGTCCTTTCCAAAAAACAGAAATAAGTCCTACGGCAGCAAAGTTCCACAATGCAAAAATAAGTGTAATATAATCCATTGGAATTTGAAACACCTCTAAAATGCTCCTAATAAATAAAGATTTTTTTTCAAAAAAAAAGACATAAATAAATCGATTTAATTAAAATACAACACCTACATCATTAAAAGGTTTCCCATAAACCCAAGAAGTAAAAGTACCACAACCATAAAGAAACCTATAAGGATCTGTAATATTGGTTAATCCATGGGAATAAAATCATAATATAACTTCAATCATAATACTAACTTTAGTGTATCCATGCTTAAATAAACAAACTATTATTATTGTAACAACAATAATTTGCCCTATTATAATTGCTGCTATTAAGAATGAATTAAAAAATTGAGAAGATTCGGTATTTCCTGAATTATCAATAAATTGTTGAGTTGCGTGTTTTGGTCTAAAAATTATCATTAGAAAATATTAGTTTAGTAGTGAGATCCAATGTTAATTTTTGATATAATAACATATCATACCGAAAACTTGGAGCAAGGATTGATAACTTGACCCAAAATACAGATAAGAAAATACAAACAACTACAGGTTTAATAATTCTATAAACTTGTTGCATGTAAAATCTAAATTCATCTACTTGGTTTTCATCAAATGAATTAGCTTGATCTGTAGATGAAGCTCTCTCGTTCGTAATTGATGGCTAAAATGAGGATATTGTTGAAACTTTATAAAATAAAAAAACAATAATCATAAAGTATTAAGAAATCTTTATTTTTGCTTACTTCTGTGGCGGGTGATGATAAATTTTGATTTCCTCCTTTGAATTATTGATAAAGGAAAAGGTTAAATAAGGTCAATATTTCGAATTGAATGAATTAATTATCTTACCTTTTTTATTGATTATTTGTGCAATTTGTCCACGTGCATAAACCTTACTATTAGATCTACTTAAAGTAACGCTTCCTTCACCACCACTTTCTACATTCGAGAGTTGACCAGCATGTGCAGCTTTACATACTGAGGAATGTCCTTTAGTCCAATTTTCAGTTTGGCATTTTGGAGAACAATAACGAGGTCCCGACTGTCCACAAGCCATACATAAGTATTGTGCAGGCTCACCACAATTTGAACAAACATGTATAGTAATATCTGAAAGTTCTAAAGTGGAAGTGTTTATGTCTCCTCCTAAAGTTGCAGTTGGACTTTCTTCGTTTAGCGTAGTATTTACATCGCTTTCTATCTGTGTTTTTGAAGAATCCCTCTCATGAATGACTTTATTATTTGATAATAAATCTTTATCATTGTTAGTATCTTGTGAATTTGAAAGGGAGCCTTCAGACATTTGAATGGTATATTTTTTTTACACTTCAAAAATTTCAAGAATTAAAAGTTTTGAGATTACTTGCATATTAATTTACACAAAATTTTGATCTGTAAATTAGTCCGTCGATCAAACCGGAAATTGGATATCCGGATTTCATAATTTCCGGATGATACAATAATCAAATAGGGAATATGTTTTATTAAAAAAAAAAAAACTTTTAACAGATAATCCGAAATCTGGATGTCTATCAAGGAACCGGATGACGGATTAATTTTTAAAATGAGAATACATGAATAAAAGATTATTCTAAGTAAAAAAAAAATTGTAGAATTTTTTCAATAGGAAAAAAAATAAGAAAAAGAAACTTCTAAATTTTATCCCTTCACATTTATTTGTTTCCAAATTTCAACCAATAAATATAACATATCATATGATGTTTTATAATCATTAAGATCCAAACCATATCCGACTATTTGATCATTTGACAACAAATTTTTCATTAAAATTGCTAGTTAACATATCGTAAATAATAGACGAATTTTTTTCTTCTGATTTCAACTTTGATAAAGATTTTTCATTGAAATCAAATTGAAATAATTTAGAACTAAAGAAAGATGAACTAGATATAAATGTTTCAATGAAACATTTTAACATTAATTCATTACATAATAAGGCTGGCATAAGAGTGAATATGACCATACGATCATTTGAGAAAGTTTCCTCAATTTGAACATGATTTTCAAAGATTTGGTGTTCGGATTCATTTAAGTTCATAGTGTCGTTTCGATTCTTCAATCATATGGAGCTGCTGGTTTAAAAATGGTGGCTACTTATATTAGCAGAACTGTTGGTGCAGCTTTGCAAATGCGGTGAATAATATGATTGTAAATAATCTTTTATCAGACACAATTAACACCATGTTTGTTTTTTTTTAGGAAGAATCAATTACTGTGTGTATGAGGAATGGAAAGTTTTTCATTTAGAATAAATGGTTTTTTTTCATGCAAAGTACGTCGGGCAGAACACCACATAATTGTCACAAGGTATTCTTCGGATGCTCATTTTTAATTTATTATTCACAATGATAATTGATATCAGTTAATACAAGGGTGGATGAGTCATTTGTTATGAATTAATTGATTCCTGCAAATATTTGATTTCATATTGATCCTTAACCCTAGAGTATTAAATTATAAATAAAAAAAAATATATTGCTATTCATACTTATTTTTATTCGAAAAACAAGAATAATATAAGGTATTTATTAATTTTAAAAACCGGTTTGGCACATGACATTATATCATAGCGCCAATCAGTGATTTAATATGAAATTTCACGCCTTTTTTTACTTTCGTCGATAAGCAAGCTGTGTCACTTTATTATACTTTTTTTTTTATGATTGTTCGTTGAGTTTGCGACTATTAATTTATCAACTTAAAAACTCGAAACACTCTCATTAACTTTTAGTGGATCTTACTTGAAAAACAGGCAATTTTGCTTTTAAACTTATAAATCTTTCATAATATTTTTTTTTTTTGTATTAAAAATAAATATAAACCGTTTTTTTTTTAAAAAAAAATAAAGTATTATTGAATAAATAATGTTCTTGAATAAATTTCAGCTTTATATTAACAAGTTAAAAGTTTGTTACTTGTAAGTTTTAATACAACTCTTGAAAGGTATGTCTATTAAAAATAATTATATTTTATTCTGAATATATTATAATATATTGAATTAATATTACAGGTTACTTTTTTTTACTTGGATTTTTGGAATTCCAATATATATATATATATTACTTGGATGATATAATAGAAAATATTTTGATTAGAATATTTTTTTTTTTAAAATGTAAGAAATAATCAACTCTAATATTATTAAACAAACTTCTTTTTTAATTTTAGAAAACACATGTCCTTCACGTAATGTTAATCCAAGCTACACAGTTTCTTCACCATTATATGATAATTAAGCATCAGACTATGTTATGTATTATCACATTATGTAATTTAGTGTAATTTAGCATAGAAATTTTAGCTTATGTAATTTATTTTTTTCCTATATTAATAAAGTGCTCTGATGGCTGATTATTTTTACATATTCATCTGTATTTTTTTCGTATGGAATAAGGTTGCTTGTCTAAACTCATTTTGGATTTGGCAAAATAGTTAAACCTTTAGTTTCGCTAAATTTTTACTAAGTGTTTGATATAGTTTTGCCATTTTTATAAGCTTTGATATAGTTTTACCTTTTTCCAAATTTCACAGATTTTTTAATAAGGTTTTAATATAATTTAACCAAATTTTACTTTTACCATTTAGATGTTTGTCTAAACTCTTAATTTTGTCCAGCAACCTTAGTATGAAATATGTGTCAGATAATAAAATTTTCTTGGCAAATTTCTGAGACAAACCGTCTTGGAAAACACATTTGATTGGAGAAACTGATCTGCTAAATGTGACGCAATTTGTGATATTGACATGTAAATTTATCCTTCCTTGATCTATCAATCTGTAGGAGACAGCTTATCCTAATAATATCCAGATAGCCTATCCTGATAGAATATTTTTTTCGAATGAATAAGAGAAAAATTGCACACAAACTTTTTTGCAAAAATTATATCATAAAATATTCCATTCTGATTATAAACATATTATTAATAGACTTCCAGATAGACTAGTCAAATGAGCATATCAAGATTTTTTAAATTATTCTAAAAACTCTGTTCCATTAGAAATTATTTCTGAAAAGCCTTATCAAATTGAGTCATATCTAAGGCATAAATTAGAAGTTTATAAGAATTCATTAAATAGAAAATACAAATCTATGGCTCAGAAAAAATTGTTATGTCTTCAAAGTTGGTCAGAATGTAATGTATTCCCAGTATCAGTAGATTGGTTCTAAACTGATATATTATGAAAAAGAAAACAATCGCTGAGTTATAAACGAATTTAAAGTATTATTCCAGTACCTAGTTGATTATAATAAAAGAATTTTTGAGAAATTCATACAAGACATTGAAAAGGATTATAGAGAGCAGATTAGTGCAAATAAGAAATTGCAATGTGAAAATGAGAATCTGAAGATGCAGTTACTGGAGGTGAAAAAAAACTGATATCTATGAAATCAGATTCTTTTTATTACTGAAAGGTACTTTTTTCCTTGTACTTTTACAAAGTAAGATCTTAGTTAAAATTCATGCGCTTTTTAAGGATTTATATAAATCAAAGATTTTCCTATTCTCTTTTATAATCATAAAAAAAAATGTTATTCTGCAGATCTCACCTAAGGTAGAAAAGAACATGTAAAAAACATAAAATTGAGCTGAAGGAAGAGAACTATCATCTTCATAGTGAATTACAAACAGCAGTTAATCACTAGAATGAAAGATGAATTAATTAATTAGAGTGAAAATATACCCAGTGTGAGCAGAAAATTCAAGATCTCAATAAAGAGATAGAATATTTTAAGAATACTTTAGAAGAGGAGATAATAGAGCTAAAATCTGAAATCTCTACCCTAAAAGTCAGCTATATCAAGCGAAGAAAGATGTGCAAAATAAGGGAAAATATATTTCTAGTTTAAAAAAGTAGTTAGTAAAATCTGAGAAATAAGAGAAATAAGTTAAAAAATTGCGATGCTGGATCAGAAGTATCTCATCATGAAAAGTTTATCTAAACGAAGGAATTCTTCAGACTTGTATAATTCTGATGATAATATTGCCATAATCACAAAGCTAACAAATGCTATAAATAGTTATGTAGATAATCCAACAATGGATAGAGAAATCTTAGCAGATCAAATAAAAAGGACAACAAGACAAATTTGTTGAAAAAAATAATTTGCATCAGGATGTAATCTGAAAGCAGAGAAGGCATTATAATGCAGAATATTAGTCGAACGATGACAAATAGGGGACCAATCAGGTCAAATCTGGGTTACCAGATTTGACCTGATTGGTCTTCTATTTTTTTTGTTTTTTTAGAATCAGGTGATTCTGATTGATAACGATTAATAGCACAGATAGGATACAATAAGATTTCAATCAGGATATTATAAAGATATCAATAGGGTTATTCTTATTGATATCAATTGATTAACATCCAATTTCCAATTGGGTTATTCCTAAGTCATCAATAGGAATATTCTTATTGGGGTTTTTTTATTATTATACAAATAGCGTATCCCGATTAGTAACATTTTATCAAATTTATTTAATAATCGTAATAATATTTTATACCAATAAGTAATCTGATTAATTATAATAAAAAGAATTTTTATTAATATGAAATATCCCGATTAGTAACATTTTATATAAATTTAAATATATTTGAAATTTTACCGATTTATTCAGTATTTATTATGAAATCTACTGATTTCTATCTATCTGTACTACTAATACTACTACTACTACTATCATATTCAGAAGATATCACACTTTTACTCCTTCTAATTCTCTTCTCCTTGTTACTTTCACCTTCATTATCATCATTATTTTTATCAGATTCCTCTTTACAATTGGATTCATCTTCATTATTAGATTCCCCTTCATGATCAGAATCCTCCTAAAATGATTCCTCCTGAGTGGTTTCCTCCTGAATGGATTTCCGATATTTAAAATACTTAGAATTATTGGATTTCTGATTATCGCTTTCGGAATGATATGGAATATGTTTTTCTACTAACGACCTTAATGATCCAGTGTATCCAGATCTTATCCATTTGGAAGCATTTACCGGTGTTTCATTTTCACCAGCCGCAAATTGGGTATCATCATATACCCTTTTTCTAGTTCTGCATACTTTTGATGATTTAGAATCTTCATTATTCACATAGTCTCGCAAAAACAACCATAACTATTAGAAATAAAAAGGATAAATTAATACAACCTGATTGATAAAAATAAAAATAAAAATTACTTACTATGGATGATCACCATTTGGGTTTCTGAATAACAATTTTTCTTTTATTAGGATTTTCATCATCAGTTTTTAAAACCTCTGGGCTATGATATCGAT